TGGAACCGGGGCTTGAACTCAGGCCCTTGTGCTTGCCAGGGAAGTGCTTATTCCACTAAGCCATCTCCCCGGCCCCCTATTTTAGAAATATTTTGAAGTCCTACCCATGTTTCCTCTGGAGTGACCTTGCACGTGTACTTTTTGCACTTGCACAAGGGGCCAGTTGCAAGGGGCCTGAGCTAGTGAGGCTCTTCCCGTGGTGTCCCTCTGGACCTTTCTCTTCAGCATCACTTCTCTCCCCCTTGCTCATTATCCCAGCCACACAACTGTGATGTTTCTGTTGAGTGCAGACCTGATTATGTGGAACCTACAGTCTTAGGGACTTTTACTTTTAATAATTCCTTATTTAAAATTATCTTGTTCATTTATTTGCTTGTATACTGTTTGACCAGCCCTACTTGAATATAAACCCAGAACAGACACGGTCTGTGTAATCCACTTCTCTTGCTACCTAGAGAAGTGGTAGACACCCATAAAAGGCGCTGGCATTCAATTCCTGTTGTGTGCACCCGCCCCACAGTGAACAGCCATTCCATAAAGATTTCTGCTTTTCTAGTTTAGCTTAACTTAAAGTGGGGACCAAGTTTACTCAAATTTTAGTGTTAAAATGTAGCATGACTTCTTTAAGTAAATGTTAACAGAATCAGCAAAACAGGGAAGTAAGTTTAATTTTTAATTTATTAGAACCCAGTAAGTGATGATTTTAAAAGGAGAGTTCCCATCAAATTAACACTTAATTCAGGGCAAAAATTCATTTAAAAAAACCTAAATCTTAAGGCAGAAGTAAAACATTATAAAAAACAGCATGTCTATTACACATTGTAGAATGTCAGATTTTTAAGAGTCACATAGTATTTTATAGCACTAAAATGTGTTAATACAATCAGAAATATTATCCCTTGGTCCAAGATTTCTCAGCCTGTAAAATGCCTCAGCTGCTAATTAAAGATATTCTGCTGTATAAGTAACAGCTACCACGTAACCAAGTGATCACTTTTTATGTCAAAGGAACTAAGGCAGGTAATTTTACGGTTTTCATTTGTAAAAGTTATAGAATATTAAATATGAAGTATGACGAGGAATATTTTTAGATTTATCTCCCCATGCTAATTCCCAAAGGATGTATATCGCTTCCCTTTAATTCTATTAAAAAATTCTGTAAACTGTTAATTCTTATTCATTGTGAGTCTGTCCTGCTAATGAAGGCATAAATTATTTACTTTGCTTGGGTTTTTTGTTTTTGTTTTTTGTTTTTTTTTGGTGGAACTGGGGATTGAACTCAGACCCTTGCGCTTGCCAGGGAAGCACTTATTCTACTGAGCCATCTCCCTGGCCCCTAAATTATTTACTTTGACACAGTAGAAAAAATTGTTGTCAATTACTGCATGTCTTTCTGGTCATTAAATAACTTCAAGGTGAGGTCAAAAACATTTTGCGCTTCAACAAGTGAGCAATCTATTTCTACAAGCTTCAAGTCTGACTGAAACCTGGGGTTGAGACGCAGGGGGATTTTAGGTTTGTCTGTCTGTTTTGTGGTGCTGGGGACCAACTAGGCAAGTGCTCTATCACCCAGCGATACCTCCAGCCCAGTGTTTCACATTTATAGTGAGTTAACAGTAGCTCTTCTGAAAAACAAGGTTAACAACCTTAAATTTCTTTCATGATAAATACCTTCTGTTTTGGGGGCATGGGATAAGATGTAAAAGTGCTTTAATGAGAAAACAGGGATTAGCTTGTCACATAAGTAGCTTACACATTCTACTGAATAGTGTCAAAAAAGACAAATATATTTAAAGTAATTTTTTAAGTCTAGCAAATATGAGGTTGATGGTATCTTAACTAACATAGTAAGTAACTACAAAGATTCCTTTTTATTACAAACTTTAAGCTATTATTATAAAACAGCTATAGACCTCACTGTACTTCTATCCATATTTTTGCATTAATAAAAATTGTTAAAATTCCTTATGCAGTATTTCTGCAAAAAAATCTAGTTAAAGAAAATCACTGAAACTACTGGGAAGCTTTGAAATATGGATTGCAGATTCATTTCAAAGTAGATTTAGCCCCTTTTTTAGGGCCTGACATTTAAATCATGAGTATCTTCACCAATGCAAACTGTGAAAATAACTTTAGTCAGTGCTGACTATAGTTAAACAGTACTGGCATGATGGGAAAAAAAACCAAACTGAAAATGCATTCAATAATTTCAAGCTAAGTAAGGAAAACATAAATATTTATGTCTTTGAAGGTTATCTTAAATTCCATGAGTCCTCAACTGAAAGCTAATCTGCCAAAACACATTAGCACTTAACTAAAATAAAAGGAGTAGGAAGGTGAGTTTGTGTACATGTTGCACAACGTTTGGCATCCAGTTTTCCCTCACTTACACAACTATTCTAGCATTGCTCCTTGAGGAGCATGAAGTGAAGGACAGACAGGACAGAACACCTGCCAGGCTAATGAGAATATATTAGTGTATAAAATCTTTTCAGCTGAGCAACTGTTCTCAGTGTTATGCTATGTGCAACATACAGCCTGTACAACAATGTTCTCTTGCTGTCTACTTGTGGAAAAAAATAAGTTTAATAAAATGTGAAATATACATTAGTTTGCTTTAAATGCAAAGATTAACCATTTTTGGCTCAATTGTATCATAACCAAAAAAGTCTCTGCTTTGATAATACAATATGAAAAAGTTCACATATGTACATGGGTATATTCTTTCATTATAGTTTTTCCTTAAGTCTACCTCAATGTATCTTTACAACTGATACAAGTGATCTTTACAACAAAAGTCAAAAAATGACAAAGTAGAAATGATTCCATTTTACAGCACTTTAGGTTTTGTGAAATTTTCCTTTAGGCCTTAAAGGACATCATTGAAATGCTGCTTTCCGTAGTCTGCAGGATCCATCTGAAGCTCTCGCTCTTCATCATCTGTAAGTAAAGTAATTATACATCAAGAATAAGGTTTTTAAAATCACTGGAGAAATCCAATTTAAAACATTTCCATTATTTTTAGCCTTTAGATCATTTTTTTTCTTCGTTCTCACCTAACGTAAAGAGTGCTGCAATTCTTAGTTGGTTGGCTACAGAGTGGTATGTCTCCTTCAGAGCACATCTTAATTTAAACAAATCTTTTGATGACAGATACAGAGGTGTAGAGCTAGATACAACAGGTATAGCTAGCAAAACTTCACCAACCTACAACACTGAGGAGTCAATTCCCTTATATACATATATTATTTCTATGTATATAAAAGTTTAGCTCCTTAACTAAGCTTTGGTAGAAAGCAAAATTTCTATGTACATTTCATGCATTTGAAAAACAAGGTCTTGGCCAGCGAGATAGCTCAGCAGTCTAAAGCTCCTGCGTAGCAAGCTTAGGCAGGCACAGGGGCCGCGGTTGGATCCCCAGCACCGAATGCCGTGCCAGCCCCGCCCCAAGGGGGGCTGAACCAGCCACAAAAACCAAAAAACGAAAGTCTGCTTTAATTTTAGAATTAACTTATACTGGTAATATAAAAATTAGAAAATAAGAGCCACTTATGACCCCAACACTGAACACTGCTGTGAATTTTTCTGCTTGTTTGCAGACAGCTTACTCTTGACTTCCTAAATGAAGTATGCTAACCAGAATTTAACCTTTTTACCCAAAGAAAGAAATATTATATCGCATCATTAGTAAGATCTTCAAAGCTTCTTTGTAAGCTCTATTAACTACATTACTCTAGACAGTGCTTTAGGAATACAGCACATCACTGACAGGATTTTCTGCCTGCTTGGCTAGCAGCTGTCACTCTGCACTGTTAGCAGTTTATCTGCCAGCAGCAATCCTTTTCTTCAAAATTCTGTTGTAAACCACAGGTTCTGAAATACTGTTCTGCAGAAAATTATGAATAACAGTGAAAAGTATTTAAATCTAAGACTGCAAGAGGTGGGACATGTTTTGAGAACATGGCTTTTTTTTATGGTATTATTTTAGGTTTAAAATTTCGTTCTTTCAAAAGTAACAAACAGGGGGGCTGGGGAGATGGCTCAGTGGAATAAACACTTCCCTGGCAAGCGCAAGGGCCTGAGTTCAATCCCTGGTTCCACCATAAAAAAAATAAAGTAACAAACAGCCAGAGCATCTGCTTGCCATGCAATCCCTACAACTGAAGGAAAAAAAAATTGTCAAACAGTCCAACTTGCTTCTTTCAGCAACTTCCGTATTCACCCATTCACAGTGGGGCCGCATATGCATGACTGTCCCATCTCTTGGCGTGTTCCTCCTGATGGAACTGTCCCAAGGCCCTCCCTGATGGACAGGCATGCACGCATCACTGGTGACTCAACCCAGTGGAAACACGTTAAATTTACAGAAGTTCTCATGTACAACTGCAGGAAACCATTTTGTACCATATTCTTAAACTTTTCACTTATCTTTAATAATATAATTTACTAGATATGATAATTCCAATTCTGTTATATGTGTAAAAGGCTCAAATTATACATTTATTCATATTTGGATTCTGTAAACATGCTAATTGTTCTTTTGAAGTTTTTTTTTTTTTTTTTTTTTTTTTTAATGTATTTGGTACAGGGTCTCACTACACAGCTAGTGATCCTCCTGTTTTCAGCCTCCCCAGTTCTGGGATTACAGGTGTTTGCCACCATGCCCAGACTTGGTGGCCAGCTCAGCATGCCTGGGGGTGGGGCTGGCACAGCATGTGGTGCCAGGGATCGAACCCCGGTCCCTGTACTTTCCTAAGCAGGCGCTTAGTCCATTGAGCTATCTTGCCGATCCTTTTAAAGTTTTTTTTTTGAGATGGTGTCATGCTGTGTAGTCCAGGTTGGTCTTGAACTTACTATGTGGCCCATGTTAGCCTTGAACTCACAGCAATCTTCCTCCCTCGGATTCTCAAGTGCTGGGATTACAGGAGTGTGCCACCACTGCCAGTCACTAATCAATTTCTTGTAAAGAAACTCACTGTATTTCAAAATATTATCTTTGTCTTTAAAAGGGAAATAATCATGGGCACATAGGTATGGTGGTTCATATCTGTACCTAACTCTGGAAGGCTGAGGCAGGAAGGTCCTAAGTTTGAATCCAGCCTGGGTAACTTAATGACTTGGGGACATCCTGTCTCAAAATAAATTAAAAAATGGGCTAGAGTTGTAGTTCAGCATAAAGGTCTTGAGTTCAATCTCTAGTACGGGGGATGGTGGTGGTGGTACACTGCCAGCACTTTTCCAGAAAGCTCCTCCTGGAGTCCACTTTATAGGACCTCATTTCATGGCTGTAAATGCATCTTTCCAGTCATCAGTGATTAGATGGAGATGTAATTACTAACGAGCAGAAGAAAATCTCTAGAAACTTATCAGGAAAATTACTGAAGGAAAAAAAATGTTAGTTCTTTGGGGTTTTAAATGAATAAACATAAAGAGAGACAGAGACACAAGCGAAGGTCTAGGGACAGAAAATCTGTCCCTAGGACAGGAAACCTATTCATGGTACCTGTTTCAGATTCTTAACAAACATCTAATTTTTAAATGTCTTTGGATCTCTATCTTCTTAGTAGAATAAGATTAACAACTGCTTTTCCTTGCACAGAATAAATAATGTATACAAAGGTAGTCTTTACTGCAGAATCCTCTATAAAAATATATGCTCCTCAGAAAAATTTTAATCCATTTATGACAAAGGTTGCAATTTTTAATATTTTTGTATGATATCCATACATGTTACCTAGAAAAATTTAAGAAACAACAATTGAAGAAGAAATTTTTATTATATTAATCCTTGTTTGTGGTGTTCCAAAAAAGAAATATTAGGTATAAATAGGTTAATATGCTCTCATATTGTTAATTTTTAATGTCTTAATTAAAATTAAGACATTAAATTTTATAGGACTTTTCAAACATGAATTGAGCTATTAACTTACACTAACTGGAGTCCATTTTCAGTAAAACTATTCTACCAGAACTCAAATTTCAGTCAACAATCTCTTTATATTTATCTATAAAGCATTATGTATTATCTGATCAAATTTGATATGGGATAATAAACAGTAAATATAATTATATGGACCACAATTCTAGTTCATTTTATATTTTATTTTAATTTTAGCTTTCTGGAGTACTAGGGATTGAATGCAGGGCCTTTGTACTGAGCTACATCCTTAGTTGTTTTTTTTTTTCTTTTTTGAGACAGGGTCTTGCTTTGTAGTTCAAACTGGCCTCGAATTCTCAGCAATTCTCCTGCCTCAGCCTTCTGATCTAGTTCATTTTAGAAAGCAGCAGAACCTGTCAGCTAATCAAGGTAAATTTTTTTTTTTTTTTTTTTATTTTAGGGAAGGGTCTATAGGATGTTCAGGATCTTACTACTAGGCTGGATTTGTAGTGATCTGCCTGTTTACAGCCTCCCAAGAGCTGGGATTACAGGGGCGCGCCAACACACCCAGTCTTAATCGATGTTTCAGTCTGTGCTGGGGTAGGGCTGGCATGGCAGCCTGGGGATTGAACCCTTGGCCCCTGTGCCTGCTTGCAGGTGCTTTAATCTGCTGAGCTATTTGGCTGGCCCCAAGGCAAAAATATTATGAAAGGAAATATAAAGATATCTATATCTTATTAAATAAGTCCTAAATTTCTTCTAAATTCAAGAAAGTACTGTTTCCACTAAAAAGCTCTACCAAGAATTTGGGGCAGTAATCTGCATAAAGGAAGTAGAAGTTAATCCACAGGAATTAAGAATGATTATCTTCTCTTGCATGCGTGTGTGTGTATGTGTGTGTGTGTGTGTGTGTGTGTAGGGTCTCACTACACAGCTGGGACCTGTAGTGATCTTCCTGTTTTCTGCCTCCCTAGTGCTAGGATTGTAGGTGTGTGCTGCCAACATGCCCAGCCTCCACTGCTGGCTCAGTGTGCCTGGGGGTGGGGCCAGCGTGGCATGCCTTGCCCGGGATTGAACCTTGGCCCCTGCGCTTACCTAAGCAAGTGCTTAGTCTGCTGAGCTATCTTGCTGGCCCTAAGAATGATTATATTCTTTTTTTTTTTGCGGAACCAGGGATTGAACTCAGGCTCTTGCACTTGCCAGGCAAGCACTCATCCTACTGAGCTATCTCCCTGGCCCCAAGAATGATTATATTCTGAGACAGGTAATGCAGGCAAAGACTTTTGCCTTTACTTTTCAAAATTATTTTACTCAACAAATACTTGTGCTGTGCTGCTCACAGTATAAAGCCTGCCTTAAGTGCTGAACAAATATTAAATTAGTTAACCCATAGAACAACTAACAACTTAGGTTAACTATGTCTGTTTACAGCTGAGGAAAGTGAGACAGAGAAGCAATTCACAAGCTCACAGAGCTAGTATAATGGAAGTAGGACTTGAATCCTGGTAGTTTGGTCCAGAATGCAGGCATTTAAAAGCACAATGATACTGAAAAACACAATACATGTTTAAGTTTAAAAAAAAGTATTAAGAGTAAAAAACTCATTGCGGAGATGGGGATATAGCTCAGCAGCATAAGTGCCTGCCTGGCAAGCACAAGATACTGAGTTTGACTTCTGGTACAAAAGCCAAACCAAACCAAACCAAACCAAACCAAACCAAACCAAACCAAACCAAACCAAACCAGCAAAAATCCCACTGCTATAGATCCCCCTCAAAGTTCTCTCCTTCATTTCAAACACATTCTATCATTCTGGTCACTTTCTGGAAGTTCTCCTCTGTGAGACTTTAGGAGGTGTTGTCAACAATATGGTGAATGGTGCTGCCAAAGGCATCCAGTGGAAAGGCAGCTTGTACAAGCACTATGGTGCCCCTTCCTTCACCTTTGTCACTGGATCTGCTACATGGGACTTGGGGCTCCTCTCTGAAGTAAAAAATGACCATGAACTCCCTACTGGCAGACATGCTTCCAGACCCTCCATTTTACAATCCAGAAATTTGGAGATCAAAGCCACAGCTTCCCTAGCTAAAGACAAAATCTTAACCTATAGCCACAATCCCTAATACTAGAGACCTCACAACTTGAGAAAAAACATATTCCGCTATTCAAAACAGCAGGAAAAAACCTTTAGCAAGACAACTTTTATAATAATTCAAGTGCACACTTTAATTTTATAATAATTGAAGTGCGTACTTCAACTTTGGCTGGAAAGTTTCAGGGGTTTCAGTAAAGTTTTTACTTTCTCTCCTGGGTTTAGAAATACATGTGTTTCAGGCATCCTGAAATCTGAAATGTATTTTCCCACAATACTTGAGTTTTATATATAATAGCTCCAAAGTAAATTTGGGCACAGAATTTTATAGTTGAGAGGGGCCATTACTCTTTTATACACATGAAGGATTTGTGGCCCAGAGTTTTAAAATGCCATTAGAAGCAGGAGGCAGTCTGTTCCCTGACTGTCAGGCCAGTGGTTTTTACTACTCTGTTTAACTGCCTGCTCTGGCTATGAGAGCAAACCAAATTGGAAACCTGTTATTTACACTGGCACAATGAACAAGTGTTTATATATACATATTCCGAATAATAAACATTTGAAATCCAACTTGTTGATAAATCGGAAACAGCCGTAATTCCTTCTCTCCCCTTTTTGTGAACAGTACATTCACAATTATCTTTTTTTTAGTCAGTTTGTGTAATTTATCCCTCTTTATTTCTGAGTGCTGATATTTTTACATCTTTTTGGCCTCTATGATAAGGAAGTTCCCTTTCTATCTGCCCTACCTTCTTGCCACTGTGGTCTAATGATCCCCAGGATGAGATAAGAAATATTAAATGGACACTTTTAAGTTCAAGTAAGATTCATTTGCAAATAAAGAAAGCAATCTAAACATTTAACAATCTCCTCCCAACTTCACTGAGGATATCTTCTTAGTTTTTCTTTATATTCCATAGTCAGTGAATTTATCTTCTTGTGAAAGGAAAAGCAGGACAGGATGAAGATTCTAGGAACCCGAAGTGGAAGATGGCAAAGAGGAATAGGAGTGGGGAAGGAAAATGGTACAAGAAAGGGAGAGAAAAGTCATTGAAAATAAACTACTGTGGATTTAAAAAAAATCTATAAAAATATCAAACTGAAATTTTGTGAAAAACCCATCAGCTTTAAAACATTAAAAAAAAAAAGGAAGTTATTATCAAGAATGGCTGAAGTTAACAGCTATAAGAAAACCCTCAACATTACCCAATGAGGTAACAGAAAATCCTTTAGAAAAAAAATTGGGCAAATTCAAACTGAAATCCAAGCAAACTTTTAAGACCAGAAGTTAAAGGGTTATTATTCAAATCACAGCTTTAAGAACAAAAGATAGATGGGAAAAGCATAAAATTATGAGTTAATGATATTGTGAGCCTTGGGTGCAAAGGACTGTGGGAAGGTTGGTATAAAGGCAGAAACAGGGCTGGGGAGATAGATCAGTAGAATAAGCGCTTGCCTGGCATGCGCAAGGGCCTGAGTTCAATCCCCAGTTCCGCAAAAAATAAAATAAAATATAAAAATATAGGCACATTTGCTATAAAAATATAAATCACACACACACACACACACACACACACATATAAATAAAATAAAGGCAGAAACAGATACATACAAAGTAGAAGGCAAATTAAGCGACAAGTCCTGCCCTCCAAGAATTTACAGGCTAACCAATGTATAATATACATGCATGAAAAAGCCTTGAAGTATATATAATTGCAAGAAAATGTAATCAAAACAATTACAAAATGAGAAAAAAGATAAAATTTATTTTAAAAGGATAAGATCATAGAAAGAATAAAATGTCTGATAGGATCAAAATGCATTCTCATTGATATATCTTTATATAACTCCTGCACTTATTAATCTTTCTTGTATCTCCATTAATATTTTCCTCAAAAGTAGAGTGTACTATTAAAAAATGACAAGGTAGAAGTCAGAGTCTCTAGTTGCCCTTTTCATAAATTATTTATTTTTTTGTTACTATGGATTGAACCCAGGGGCATTTTACCAATGAACTATACCCCCAGCTGTTTTTATTTTGAGACAGGGTCCTTCTTGCTAAATTGCCTAGGCTGCATCAGACTTGCTATTTTCCTCTCTTGGCCTCCTGAGTAGCTGAGATTATGAGCATGTACCACCCTGTCCAACTTCTAGTTTCTTTTTGATAGAGCACTCTAGGTCAAGTATATTTTCTTTTGAGTTCTGAAAAACAATTTTTATCCTGAACCTAAATAAAATGGAGTTACTGTAAAAGAGCTAAGGAAGAAATCAAAAGTTATAGTGAAATTAATTTTCATGCATCATTATTATAAAAATCTTATATATTACACCCTAAGGTCATAATCAACTTTCACAGAAAAAAATTTAAAACTCTACAAATACAAATTGAACAATAAGCAGGCAAAAAAAGGCCTAAAATCTTGCAATAAAGCAAATATACTGTTATGCATGCATGGGTGGGCTGCATGCATACAGGTAGATTCTGAACTTTTATTAAGTTAAAAGGTCAGAAGTAATAGCTAACAAGAAAACTACTGAACCTGTATATTTAATGTAAAAATGTATCTTTACAAACTTACTATTAATATAAAGTTTAAGCCTCTCAGAAAACTTTTCACATTTCTATACTGTGTCAATGGTGCAATAATTTCAGCTGCAGTATGAGGGAGCTCATTCCTTCTGTGGCTTTCCTTATAACGAAAGTGCTGCCTGAGCCATGCTTTTACTTAGAACAGCACAATGTTTTCAGATGAGAAACTGGAAAATAATTATTTTCTAGAAGCGTTTGTCTATAGTCATTCTAAAAATTTCTGAGGATTCTGCATTCCAAATTATAAAATAACTAAAACATTTTTTTAAAGTAAAGCTATTGATAGATCTATTGATCATAAAAGTATTCAAAGCCAAACTTTAAAAACTGCACAGAACTTCTTTGAATTAATATTAAGATAATACTACTATAGTATAGGTGGGGGAAATTCTACACAAATTCAACCAAAAAATTTAGAGGTGGGTTTCAGGGTCACAGCATGGAGGCCACGCCCACGCTCACCTTGGACGTCTTCCTCTCCACCATCACCATCTTCTTCCTCATTGTAAGCCAGCTCAGCCTGCTTGTCTGCCTCATACTCACCTACGTTACCATCATCCCCATTATAATCCGCCAGTTTAGAGCCATGCTGCGGATCAACAGGGGATTCATTTTCATCAAAGAACCGGCCTGTGAAGTAGGTACAGGATTAATTATAGAGTACAGAGACGGTAAAGAAGGGACCTATACTGAAGGCAGAGCAGAGAGTAGACAAGTGAAATCTGGCCACTTTCAGGGTACCAGTTATCAAAATAAAACATTTTATGAAGGTTATCCTAGAGAGCACTGAACAAGAGTGAAAATCCAAAGAACACTGCTTTCCTTTCTTCTTCTTTTTTTTTTTCTTTCCCTTTTTGAGATACTGGAGATTAAACTTAAGGCCTTAGCACGTGCTAGGCAAGAGCTCTACCACTGAGCTATTTCTGCAGATCCCCTGCTTTCCAGTCCCACCTTTTTTTTGAGGATGTATCTCACCAAGTTGGCCAGACTGGCCTTAAACTTGTGATCCTCTTGCTTTAGCTTCCCCCAAAACTGTGATTACGGAAGCATGCCATCATGCCAGGTTTGAAAATAACTTTTACTTAAGAATTTCTCTTTTGTTTCATACTTGCTACTCAAGATTTGCATGCTTTCTTAAGGAAAAGGACACTAATTTCAGGACTATTTTTCTAATGCCTTGAATATTTTAGAAGAAATCATATCATCTATCTATCTATCTATCTATCTATCTATCTATCTATCTATCTATCTATCTATCTTTTTGAGACAGGGTCTTGCTATGCAGTTCAAGCTGGCCTGGAGCTCATTTTGTAGCCCAGGCTGTTCTTGAACTCACAATGATCCTCCTGCCTCATCTTCCCGAGTTCTGGGATTACAGTTGTGTGCCAGAACTACACCCAGCCATTTTATTACTAGATACAATACATAATTGAAGTTTGTGGACATTTTTCCTGAATAATTTTTAAAACTAATCTATTAATTTCTCTTGATCTCTCCAGTAACAGGGATTAAACTCAGGACCCATTCGGTCTACTAGGCAAGCACTCTATCATATATATATATATATATGATATATATATATATATATCATATATATCACTCTAAGATATATATGCTGAGCCATTTTGAAAACTTAAAAAAAGCATCCCAAATAATTCTGGTTTATCTCATCCCATTTCCTAAAGTAAATAAGAAAAAAGTCAGTGAAAGTTTATTAGTTGGTCTATGTAAGACTACTATGCTAGGCATGGGGACACGCTTGTAATCCCGGCACTTTGGGGTTCCGGAGGCTAATATAGGAGGATTATTGTGAGTTTGAGTGCAGCCTGGGCTGTAAGTAAGCTCAGGGATAGCCTGAACTGTGTAGCAAGACCCTGTCTCAAAAAAAAGAAAGAAAAAATGACTGTTATACATATTCATATAAATTTATTAAGTGAACAATAAACATATATTAAAGAAAGCTATTCAATAATGACATTGAAAAAAATCACACAGATAAAACTACTTTGACATTAAATTTAACTAGCATAAAAGTACACATTATATAAATCCCTCTAAGGTGAAATTAACTTACTAAAGATACAGGATTCCCCCCCACCCCCCGGAACTAGGGATTGAACTCAGACCCTTGCACTTGCCAGGGAAGTGTTTATTCTACTGAGCCATCTCCCCAGCTCACAATACAGGAATTTAAAACTTAAAAATTTAACAACTTTTTGTGATGGTCTAATATATTTCAAAAGTTTACATTTCCATAAAACAAAAGATTCCTTATCTTGGGAAAAAGTTAAGCAGAAACTGCAAAAATTATGGAGGTATCTGTCAGTTCTATAGATGGCTCATCACATTATCAAAGCAGTATATTTCTAATTGCTGGGTAAAAAGCCAATAACGAAAATAGTTAAAACAGCAAGTCCTGTTGGGTGTGACAGCTCAGGTCTGGAACCCCAGCATTCTGGGAAGCAGAGGCAGGAGCATCCCCAGTGCAAGCTCAGTCTGGGCAACTCAGTGATTAATAAGACCTCGTCTCAGTTTAAAAAAATATATATATATTGTGGGGGACATAGCTTAGTGTGAAGGCCCTGGGTTTAACCAGCAAAAAAACAAAAACAAAAATAAAACAAAATGAGAAGTCTTTAACTGTTAAAAGCAAGAAGGTGTGGGAACAAGATAACAGTAACTGGGGCCAATCAAAATCCCCGCATAGTGGAAGCCAAGGCTGGAGGACAATGAATTCGAGTCTGGCCTGTCTACATAACAAGACCCTATCTCAAAAAACCAAATATACACAAAAAATTTATTGTATATCTATTCTAGAATAAACAGGACTCCTATATTTAGTTTAATTTAATTAATTTATTTTTTTTTGGTACTGGGGATCAAACTCAGGACCTTGTGCTTGCCAGGCAGGTGCTTATACTGCTGAGCTATATCCCTGCCCCTCTGTATCTAGTTTATAAGGGCACTAACTGAACCAAGGGACAAAGTATATGAACATATCTACAATAATAATTTGTATTAATATAATATTAATATCAATATTATGTAACATCAACACAAACTATTATATATTAATATTAACAATATAATTATTGATATATATCAATATTCACTGATATTTATGATAGGTAGTGTGCTACTTGCTGTGATATAAAAATACAGTTATCATCTTCATCACCTGTAACTCAGTGTGTTAAGGGGGACAGACAAAAAAATTATTAGTGAACTCTATGTAGTAGGCAATAATGAGTTACTATGGTTTCTTTTTCTTTCTTTCTTTCTTTTTTTTTGTGGCCTGCTCAGCCCTGGTGGGGCTGGCGAAGTATGTGGTGCTGGGAATTGAACTGCAGTCCCTGCACTTCGCCTAAGCTTGCCTAAGCAGGCACTTTGGATCACTGAGCTATCTTGCTGGCCCCTGTGGTTTCTTTTTGAACTTACTGAGAATAGGAACTAATCTTTGGCATCTTCCTTTCTTTGAGACATGGTCCTATTGTGTAGTTCAGACTGGGCTTGAACTCCTTATGTAGCCCAGGCTGGCCTTGAACTCAAGGCAATCCTACTGTCTCAGGGTCCCAAGTGTTGGGATTACATGTACGTGCCACCTAGCTGGAGCATCTTTTTTTTTTTTTCTCCTGGTCCTGAGAATTGAACTCAAGTACCCTGAGTACCTTCTTGCCAGGCAGGTCCTGTGTCACTGAGCTATATCCTTGACCCTGCAGCATCTTCAATTGTGTATTTGAATATTATACTGATATTGGTGGCTGGTTGAGAATGACACACTTAGCGCCTATCAGCAACAAGATAGTTTCATTCAGCAGTTTAAACTTGGAACACAAAGACAAAAAAAAAGTACCTATTAGTTACTGAAAGTTTCTAAAGCCAGACATGGTGGTGCACACCTGCAACCCCAAGTTCTCCAGGAGGCTGAGAAAGGAGTACATGGACTCATACAGTGCTAATTCTGTTAACAAGTTCAAGCCCAGCCTTAGCAACTTAGTGAGACCTTGTCTCAAAATTAGAAATAAAAAATGGGCTGGGGATATAACTTGGTAGAAGCCTTGGGTTTGATCCCTAGTACTGCAATGAATGAATGAGTAAATACATAAATAAATAGATTAAAAAGAAGGTCTTTAAATATTATCAAATTTGAAAAACTAGTGGTAAGAAAGTCTCAGTACTTAAATTCTTTTTCTGACCCCACCTAGCAAGCCTACTAAATATGTAATAAGCACATGGTATGTCTGGAGCAATTTTTTCATGTATTTTCCTTCCTTTTGTTCTAATTGGTATAATAGGATGGTCCATACCTGTACACTAAGTTCATATACTCTACATGACCTAAAGCATTAAGCCTTTTTCATCTCTCCTTAAATACAACAGAACTTCATATGGGATGCTAGACATTCTGTAAAACAACGCAAATATCAGACCACAAACATAAACAGAGAGGATAATAACTAAAGTATGATAGCTTGTACCCAGGTGTCTCCCCAAAGCCTGATGCAGTTATTGGTGGGACTTTTCAGAGGTGGCTGGATCTAGAGTGTGTGATACTGGGATCAACGATTTAACACTGGGACTGATTCACAGGTGCTAGGATTAAGGGTGTGAGGGCTACCTGGCCTGAGGGTAGGCAGCCTGGATAAGACACAAGGGATGGAAAGAACTATGTTTGTTGCTTGCCACTTGTCTGTTGTCATTTCCTTGCTTTCTGACTTCTGGCTACCATGATTTACCATGGACTATTTCTCCTCTGAAATGCCACCTTGCCTTGGAGCCAGCCAACTATGAAATGAAACCTTTACAAGCTGTAAACTAAATAAACCTTTCATTTTCCACACCCTTAACTTATGAGTGTTGGGCATTTTCTCTCATTGAGGAGAAAAGTAATTAAGATAAATAGTAACATTATTCAATCAGGAAAAAGTATTTCAACCAAGGAAACTAGATTGTAAATTTTAATCCTATAGCATGAATCCAATGAAACACTATAAGGAAGCATTTTTGTTTGCTTTACTAGCTCCAGATTATGGGTTCTAATGTCTTAATTATTCTACCCAAAACACACACACACACACACACATATTTATTATTATTTTTTGCACTACTCAGGATCTTGTGCTTGCCAGACAAGCGCTTATTCTACTAAGCTATCTCCCTGGCGCTATATATTTATTTGGTATAAGGTCTCACTACACAGCTCAGACTTCAAGAGTGATCCTCCTGTCTCAGCCTCCACATGTTGAGATTATAGACGTGCATCACCACACCCAGTTTCAGGGGCCAGCACTGTGTGCCCAGGATTCTGTGGCTGGGCACGACATGCTGTACCAGTGGTCGAACCTGGGTCCTTGCACTTGCTAGGCAGGAGCTTAGACTGCTGAGCCATCTCCCCAGGCCTACATTTATATTTTTTATGTCATTCTAATTAACCTGAATTGGTTAAAAATCTAGGGAGAAAGAAAAGGAATGTTTACAGGAAGCAACCGCTTTTTCTAGCCTTCATCTACTGGTAGTTTTTATGATTTAGATTAAAATGTCCCCTAAGGAACTATGGAGCAAGTGAATGGATCATAGATGCCCAATATTCCATCCAATGAGTTCATAATTGAATGGGTTGTTAGGAGGTG